TGGAAGGAGACCGAGGAGTTGGCTTTTGCGTGAGACCGAGACAAACAGACCTGGAGGAGGAGGGAAGGATGAACGGCGGCTTAGAGACCCATGCGTCCCTTCGATGTGGGCCACGGAGACTGGAGAAGCTGCAGAAGCATTTGACATGGAGAGCCAGGCGGCCCAGCCTCTCGGCCTCTTTGATTGCGAGAGGCACGAGCACTGGCAGTTCTAACGATCTGCCGGCTGGATGGCAGCTTACCTGAGAGGCCACCGCCTTCGGCCCCTCGCCACTTCGATCAAGAATCCGTCGGAAGCGATGGCCAATGTGCCGATGGGAGGACTGAAAGTCGGGGAATCCTCCAGGACTGAAGCGGCCTGAAACTTTTCGACGCTGTGGGGAAAATTGGGGCGCGCGGAAGCTTGACAGCCGTCGACCGTGTGTGTGTGAGAGAGAGTTGCGTTGCGTTTCGTTGCGTTGCGTTGTGTTGTGTTGTGTTGTGTTGCTCACCTGACTGAACAATCGATGTGCCTTGCTGAACTCTCCGAGTGCCGTACGCGGCTCCCGCTGCCATGCTCAAAGATCGCACAGACCATTGGGGGCTTCAGGCCTAACTAAGGCAAAATACGGCTATCGGAGTGCAAACAAGTGTGTCTTTCGTTGCGACCACACCTTTCTTGTGGTATTAAAGCTACACCAGGAACACCACCGTTTTTTGGGTTTTTCTAGACAAGGATCCCCACCCAAATAAGACCTCGGGCTGGTCTTTGGCCGGGACATGAGATCCAATGCAGACTGAGTCTGGGCTGCCGGCTGCGAAAGGCCCTTTGGAGCCCTCACCGTGGTCAGGGCTCCAACTATCTTTAAACGTCACGTCTTTGGCTCACTTAGACCAGCTTCCCTTGGTAGGGTGATGCTTCAAGGGGAAATACCGGGGAACCCTGATGGTTGCGGTGTTGATCTGCAGTTTGACATTTTACCCTACCAGCTGACGCGAAACCTGATTGGGCATTTCCATTTTTGGGGCGAAGCCTTTGCCCCGATGGGGTTTGTGGGGCAACCAAAAGGGAGAGCAACGTCTCGCCTCAGGCTTTGGTGTTTAGGGCTTAGTTAGGGTTTGTAACAAATTAGGAGCTAAATGCTTACCAATAGTTTACTCCTAAAATCATGACTAAGAATGGCTTCAAACTGCTCCACCACTGCGACAATGTGGGACATGGGCGTGTCTTTTTGGTTGGTATATGCCCTTTGTGGATCATGGTGGGATTGTAACGGTTCAAAGGGACACCCATTTTCATACATAATTGGCCAAATTTCCGGGGATCACCGCAAATGCCTGGCTCCCTTGATATAGCTTTTGCCCACGGGAGTCAGACGTTTACTCAGATGCCCATCATGTATCTTTCTCCGCAAGACTTTGCTGCCCCTTAGACCATGCTTTGTCTGGTCGCGGCATGTGGAGCGGTTTGCGATGCGCTAGCCTTCGAACGGATTCTGATCCGTTTTGCCGTAGGAATGTGTGGGGTTCCTTCGAAGGAGTGAGGGGTGCGCTCAAAATGTGAGACGTTTGCCACCTCGTCATATTTGCTGGCTTTTCTAGGCTAACTTCGGTGAAGGCCCGCGTTCACCTGTTGAGGATCACGACCACCTTGGGAGCCAGTTTCGACATTTGGTGACACAACAGCAAGCAGTATGTAAGCTTTGGGCGAATTGTAGCGACTTTACCAGGACTTGGCGAGCCCTGAGGGTCGCTTCCGTGGCGGTCCGGTTTTGTCCTCACCCAACCCTGGGCAAACACAAGGCGCGTGAATCCGCGGCGGAGGTGTGTCTGAAAACAGGGGACACCAACAAATGGTGGATGTCCATTTGATTTGCCCTTAAAGCCACTCGAAAAGGGGTCCTTCAAGGATTGATATGCACACATCTCCGCAGAACCCTGTTAATTCTGGGAATGCCAAATCGTGCAAGAGCATAGGCCACCCGCGAAGTGACTGGGGCCACTAGAACGGGCCTGGTCGGGAGAAGTTACCGACATTAGCATGGACCAGAATGTGCAAGCCCTCCAGAAAGCCATGAGCGAAGAGACTTCAACGCAAGATTTGCAGCTGGCTCAGCGCAACGTTGCGCGAATTGTCAGCAAGCACGCCACCCTTGAAACGCCACCCTTGAAGCCTTCGATGAACTTGTAGCTTTGTATTGTGGTCCGCGGAAGCTGCGTGGAGGAGATGCCTGGATCAATGCCAAGCTGCTCGAGACTTGGAGTGCCAAGGTCACTCAGTCTGTCTTGAAGACCGCGTACTGGGTGCCTGCAGACCGGCCTGTGCTTGCGACCACAGAGCTGAAACCCTTTTTGGTGGATTCCGCAAGCTTGGAGGATTTGCCGCCGACACTCCGTGTGTCAAAAGTGGCCTTTGTTTTTTTCAGCTTGGTGGGAAGGGACAGCAAAATGAAACACAAGACTTCTTCCCCCCTCCCATTTTGCACAGACCCATATTCTAGGGGTTGATTCTAATCATTTGGACCAATTTTGAACTGGGTTTCCTTTGAATTTTGTTGAGGGTCGTTTGAAGAGAACATGTGAGGAACCCTGTTACATTGGTAGTGGCTATGGGCATTTCTTTATTTGCGGAAGTCCGAACTTGTTGTGTCAGGTGCTGAATTCCATGGAGCAGGAGGATAAGGACGATCTCTTCCAGGACATAAACCAGCGCCTTGCCACCTCAAAGATAGGAAACCGCCCCAAACCAGAGAGAGCGAGAGAGAGAGAGAGAGAGACGGAGAGATAGAGGAAGAGATAGAGGTAGATAATGAGGCAGAGAAAAGGACAATAACACAAAGAGAAAGAGACATATAAAAATAAGAGAGAGAGAGAGAGAGAGAGCAAGAAAGAGGAAGAGAAAGAGAAAGAGAGCGCGAAGAAAGAGAACATTAGAGAGAGAGAGAGAGACAGAGAGACCGAGAAAAAACAATGAGAAAAGAAGCGTGCTCCAAGCTAGAATTCTTAGATGTTTTGAGACTTCCTCCCCCCAGCTCTGCCGGCTTGTGCTGCTATATTCTATCTATGAGTAACATATATTTGAGCCACCCAAAAAAGGAAAGGCGGGAGCTGACCTCATTTGGCTTCAGGTTTTTGAGGCCGCCGCCCTCTGAGGTTCTGCGCGACTCACGAGGTCCGGACGGAGCTGAACTGCCCGGACGGGCGCGGACCGCCCAGGATCCAGAATTTTGCCTGGGCCAACTTACGTGGCCTTTTGTGGTGGATTGGTTTAAAGGGACACTTTATGCTTGATTGATGCCTTTTTTTTGGAGGGGGTTGGGGGTGGGATTTGGGGTGCTTTGAACTTAGGTCACACCCTGGGTTGACCGAACACCTCCTATCCTTTGGTCAGCGCGCTCCGGGAGGCTTTTATGTGGAATTTTACCCGACAGTTTGAGTCCCAGTCCTATTTCGGGTCAAGGCAGGTTTTAGGGTTTAGGTTTCTGCCTTTTTTTTTGGGGTAAGACTTGGCAAGAACAATGACCACCCAAAAATTTGGCACATACCAAGTTGTGACCCTAAGCTCGCCTCCGATCTGGGCCCAGACTAGCGCCCTTGTTGCCTTAGGTTCCCTTTCAAATCGACGAATTCGCTCGAGATCCGGGCTGGGACCTCTTGAAGGATTTTTTTACTTGGCTGATGGGCTCGTTTCATCTCCCAAGGGCTTTGTTCCTTCCAAAGAGTCCTAGTTGCATATGGGGCTGTCTTCTTTTGAGCAGGGTACTCCCTTTTGGTTGAAGGAAAACCACCATTTGGGGGTGGGGGCCTAAAAGACCCCCATAAAACCTTGAGGTTGGTAGGGATGGTGAACCCCTTAGGTTTAGACAACCATAATAAAAGGTTTTCCGACTAAAGAGAAACCATATGATCATGGCCAAATTTCGGCCAAATGCCTTTTTTACATTTTCGCACCATGTTCCTTAGTCGGAAAAGACAAGGGAACTGTGAAGGGACGGTAGACACCATGATCATGCCCCACGTCTCCTGGAGTTTCTGACCAGTTGCGCCACGCAAATCACTGCGACCTCGAGGGGTTTTGTGACCAGAAGATGGCTTTTGTGGGGGGCCCTTGCTTCAGGTGGGTGATGTTTCATGATTCAACCAGAAACATCGCATTTAACGTTTACCACGGATGTTTCCAGAATTTATGCGGGGTTCCTCTTTCCAAGCCCAGCACATTCATCTCCATGTGGACGTTTCCTGCGGACCTATCACAAGTCTGTAGTTTCCTCGTAGCTTTTGGAGACCATCCAATGGGGTCCGATGCCAACTGTAACTTAGGCACCTAAGTTGTTTGCACATTTTTTCGTAGGTGGCTGAGATCCCAAGCAAACTCACGGAGTAGAGCCTCTGATTTCTCTCCCCTTTGGCTGGGTTCCCTTGAAAGTCAAGAACAAGTCAAGGGGTGCCCCATACTTTTGTACTGGAGCAGAACCAGCGGCAATGGCCAACAGCAGCTATCCTTTTGGGCCAACATTGGTGGTACCCTTTTCAAGCTGTACTTTGCTTTGAGTTTCAAGCATCCTGTCTGACCCTCAAGGCAGCTTGCAGGCCACTTAGCAAGTAGGGATGTTGCAGTAGAGTCTCCTTGCATTCTAGCTCCATCCTTTCATTAAATGACAAACAACAACAGGGAACCTGAATGGTTGCTCGAAAGAATAAGATCGGTTCCCCCGGCCCATTTTTTTGTTGGGGGGGGGGGAATCCTTTTGGGCGTGAGTTTTATTCAGGAACTCCAAGGAGAAACTGCTCATTGTAGGGCCCCCTATCTACACACACACACACCCAAATCGCAGGGGGGGCATTGAACGGGTTCCAATAAACGGATTCTAGCTTGCACTAGAAGACAGCCATGAGTGTAGAACCCGGAAGGAACTCAATTTCAGGGTGTCAGAAGATGTTGGGGTAGTCTAAAAGCAAGGTAAAGCAGACTCCGACTGCATTATTTGTGCGGGCCAAGATGTGTCCGTCACCTCCTTCCAGGCCGCAGAGGTCCGGTGCGTGGCGAAGCCTGTGCTCATCAGCAAGGAGCATTCCCGAGTTCGGGACGAACAATCGGGTCCGGGGCAGATGGCTTCCAAAATTCCGGACCCTCAAATGGTTCCTTTGGGTTTTCTGTTGGACAAGCCAGGGGGGTCCACCTAGGGACCGCGACTTGTCCTTGAGTTCCCCAAGTTAGGAGGCACGTAGGGAAGAGCTGGCATTCTTCCATTAGCTCGGTTCAGTCTACTGCGTCTGCTGGAGTGAACCAACTTTGGCACGGAAACAAAGACTCGCCACTGCACCTTTTTGGAAAACGGTACTCATCTTCCATAGTGCAGTGCCGCCTGCTCAACAAAACAATCCATGTCAATACTTGCAGCGCGATGATCGCTTTCGGAAGTGGCATGTTCTCAAGCTTGACGGGTCACTGCGAACTCTATGACGTGTAGCGCTAGCAAGCTGTGGCCCAGTCTGCTTAGTTTTTGGACTCGCCCAATTAGGAGCAGGGGTGTACTCGCCAACTTTGGATGTGGGTGTTTTGCTTGTTTGGAAGAGTTTGCCGTGCTGCCGGTGGAACCAATCCACCACAAACGGCCAGAGGTCTAGAATTCCCAAAACCTTCACTGACAAGCGTTGCCAAACTCAGTTGATGAGTTGGCACCGGTTGAACCGCCTTTGAGTGTTTTGTGCAAAGAGTGCAGCCTTTCCAACGAGCATGAGTGACCAAACTTGGGGGATCCGGAGTTTTTTGTTTTTTTTTTGAGGGCTGGGTTGGTTGGTTGGTTGGTTGGTTGGTTGGTTGGTTTGTTTGGTTGGTTGGTTTAGGGCTGACATCCAGGCTGCTGTTGGGCGCGTTTAGGGTTGACATTGGGTTGATTTGGGGTTGGCTTGGAGCTGATTTGTGTTGGGTGTGCTGCCGGAAAAACGGTGCCTGTAGGGTTGCTTTAGGAATGTTGTTGCGTGAGTTGTGAACGAGTTTTAGTGGTTTAGGCCAATAAGAAACCCCCGGGCCAAGTGAGGCTGGTGACCAGCTCTAGGAAAAAAACAGCCCTGCGAGAAGAAGCAACTCTACCAAATTTGAGCTGCGAGGCTTTGTTGTGGCCTACTCCGCTTAACTTCTAGTGCCCAGTATCTGGCTCGTCTTCATTAGTCCACCACAGAATTTGGATCCCCTGGCAGCACGTCGGCACGTGAAGGACAACAAGTGACGGGTCCCTGTTGAGCAGCAGCTCCCCCGTGGCTGCGGAACAGGAGCAGTCCCTGATCGTGAAGCAGCGGGAAATCATTCAGCAGCTGCATAGCCAGGCGCAGAGAAGGGTTTTCTCCGAGGCTTCACTGACCTTTGTGGGTCCGTGTGGTGTGATTTTTGGGCTACCCGTTTCACCTTGATTTGAGTAAAGAAAACCCGAACCTGTGAAACTGCCCACATCTCAAGACCCGCGCATGTTATGTTAGTTTGAGGGATATGATGACAGCTCCGTATCATTCATGTTACATATGTCCTGCTTGCAACGAACACTGGGTATGGATCGCCTGATTGCCTGTGGCCTTTCGAGCGTTTCAAGCCTGCTTTGTTTTTGATTCTAGCTCCCCGCCGAGTGCACCATGCTTTTCCACCTGTACATGGTGGCAGTGCTGGCCCTCGGGGATGAATCATGCATGATGCAGCACAAAGACATGGTCAAGCATTGGCCACACTCGGGGCAGGCGGGCACACTCCAAGTCTCGGACTGCAGCGACCTCCATGGCATTGGCAAGTTCTGCAAGAAGCATCGCGGCAAGGCGGCCACAGGGCCAAGCTGCAGCTTCTCCTGCAGCAGCAGGGGCCACATCAAAGACTTCCAGAACTCGGGGGAAATGATCATCGGTGGAGGCTCCACTGCGCAGGAGGCAGATGAGCCTGAGCAAGAGGCACAAAAGCCAGACCTTTCCCAGCCTCTGGAAGTATCGGACTGCGTCAACGTGATGGGCATCGGAGAGTTCTGCCAGCAACATCCAGGTGTCCAGGCAAAAGGGCCGACCTGCACCTTCTCCTGCAGCGCCGGGGGTGATGTCAACAACTTGCAGAACTTCGGAAGCATGTCAATTGGCGGTGGCTCCAGTGCGCAAGAGGCAGATGAGCCTGAGCAAGAGGCACAAAAGCCAGACCTTTCCCAGCCTCTGGAAGTATCGGACTGCGTCAACGTGATGGGCATCGGAGAGTTCTGCCAGCAACATCCAGGTGTCCAGGCAAAAGGGCCGACCTGCACCTTCTCCTGCAGCGCCGGGGGTGATGTCAACAACTTGCAGAACTTCGGAAGCATGTCAATTGGCGGTGGCTCCAGTGCGCAAGAGGCAGATGAGCCTGAGCAAGAGGCACAAAAGCCAGACCTTTCCCAGCCTCTGGAAGTATCGGACTGCGTCAACGTGATTGGCATCGGAGAGTTCTGCCAGCAACATCCAGGTGTCCAGGGGAAAGGGCCGACCTGCACCTTCTCCTGCAGCGCCGGGGGTGATGTCAACAACTTGCAGAACTTCGGAAGCATGTCAATTGGCGGTGGTTTGATTCAACATCCATTCCAAGTGTCTGACTGCAGCAACTTGCACGACATCCACAAGTTTTGCAAGAAGCATCGCGGCAAAGCAGCCACAGGGCCAAGCTGCAGCTTTTCCTGCAGCAGCAGGGGGCACATCAAAGACTTCCAGAACTCGGGGGAAATGATCATCGGTGGAGGTTCCAGTGCGCAGGAGACAGAGGAGCCTGAGCATGAGGCACAAAAGCCAGACCTTTCCCAGCCTCTGGAAGTATCGGACTGCGTCAACGTGATTGGCATCGGAGAGTTCTGCCAGCAACATCCAGGTGTCCAGGGGAAAGGGCCGACCTGCACCTTCTCCTGCAGCGCCGGGGGTGATGTCAACAACTTGCAGAACTTCGGAAGCATGTCAATTGGCGGTGGTTCGATTCAACATCCATTCCAAGTGTCTGACTGCAGCAACTTGCACGACATCCACAAGTTTTGCAAGAAGCATCGCGGCAAAGCAGCCACAGGGCCAAGCTGCAGCTTTTCCTGCAGCAGCAGGGGGCACATCAAAGACTTCCAGAACTCGGGGGAAATGATCATCGGTGGAGGCTCCAGTGCGCAGGAGGCAGAAGAGCCTGAGCAGCCTGAGGAGCCTGAGCAGCCTGAGCAGCCTGAGGAGACTCGACAACCTGAGGAGACTGAGGAGCCCAAGGTGCAAAAGCCAGACCTTTCCCAGCCTCTGGAAGTAGCGGACTGCGTCAACGTGATGGGCATCGGAGAGTTCTGCCAGCAACATCCAGGTGTCCAGGGGAAAGGGCCGACCTGCACCTTCTCCTGCGGTGCCCAGGGTGATGTCAACAACTTGCAGAACTGGTAGTGGCTGAATTCAACAGAATTTAAGCCTATTCCTGCAGGGTATTTCTGCGGAGGCTGGCATTGGCTTCAGTGCCAGTTGCTTCAAGACGTTGGGCTGCGGGACAGCACGGCGTGCTGATGCCGCCAAGGCTAAATGTGGCCACTCCTAGACGTTTCAAGCGGACATTTTTTGTAAGCCTTGTGGAGTTCCAAAAGGACTGTCCTGACTCATCCACGCATGAGCTACACTCAATGCAAGCAGCGAGCACCAAGATGTTTTAATTGCCAACAACTTCTACGCGGCGCCAAGCGGGACCTTTTCATGCCTTTCTTGGCTGGGACGCATGATGTTCTAGCCACTCTATGTTTGGCAACACGAGATGTGGTGGAAGATGTCCCGCTATCGGTGGAGAATTTCCCTACGCACCAACTGGGATGGATGAACGCCGATGGTATCTTTTTGTACCCTTTTTGGATGGCTTTAACCCCCTAACAAACATTGGGGTGGATTTCCAGCTTGCAAACCCATTACCATCCGTTTCGAGGGGTTTCCACATCCCGGCGAGTCGATCCTTCCCTTTGCCTGGCAGGTTCGGAGTTTGCAGGAGGAGGTGCAGAGATCCACCTCGACGCTCCCGAGAAATGAGGTGGGGGATGTCGAGGCGGATCGAGGAAGTTGTCTCTTTTCAAGTGGTTTTAAAGTGGTTCAAAAACTGATCGCTTTGTATTTCCAGCGGCCTTTTAGAGGAAGCTGAGGCACAGAATACCATGGGTTCTGGAAGTTCCAGGTTCGGGGTCGGAACCTTAAACTTGCCCACAACAACCAGGGGACTCACTCAAGGGCGTGTCTGTTCTAAGGGACCCACAAAACAGCGGTGTTGCTTTGGGTTTTCTTTTAAAACCACAAAAGCCGGGGGGGGGCGGGGTGTACCCTCAAAAAGACCCACACAAACACACACTAAGCTTCCATGTCCTCCTTGGGAGAAGTCATTTTGGCGCTGTGGCTCCTTTTGTTGGAGTTGGTCGCCTTTTTGGATTTCCTTGTGTTCTTGTATTTTTTTTCATCCACCCATGCTGGGTGCCAAATTGTGTGTAATTCCCCTTGAGCGGATGACTAAGTGTTTCATTTTTCCAGACTCTCTATTTAGCTTGCGGGATGACTCTTGAACTTCTTTTTTTATGCCATGTTTACAGCTTGGCAGGCATTGGGTGAACATGTATCATCAATTGTAATGGGTCAGCCATTTTGGCTCAAGACTGAGCCAAACTGGCAGACACCTTTTTGGTTTCGGTTTTTCATTTGCTACTGGAGTGGGACTCTGGTATGTCTGGCGCTGATGCAGGCCCTTTGGTGGCCCATTCTCAGGCGCGGATGTTGCACCCGGCGGCCCTCTTGGACTTCGAGGCCCACCTGGCAGGACTGTTGGCCCGTGGGGAACGGGACCAGGCTGTCCGGCTGTGGAAGGCCGTCGTGGTGGTTGTGCACCTCCCCCCAACTGAGGCTTCGGAGTTTCGTATCCACACCCTTGGTCCGTTGCGGGAGGTCCCCTGTGTGGTTGCAGGGTGTGCTAGGTGCACGGAGCAGCGAGGCGGTTTCCAGTTCCCGTGGCTCGGGACATGGACCAAGCGCGCAGTCTTGGTTCAAGCAGAGGTTGGTCCTGCGGATGCTTGGGACCTCTACTATGCGGGCCGGGACTACTTGGAGGCGGATTTCGGGCCCTTGACTCGGGCCTGCGAGTGCCGAGGTTGGTCCCAGACCACATGGCCCGCTTCATCGGCTACGTGGAGTTGGCCGGCCTCGAAGATTGTGGCCTCGATCGGGAGGCTGTATTTTGGGCTTGGAGGAGGTGGCAGGAAGGCCGCGACTCTTGGAGAGAGCCGGCGTATGAGCCAATCCCCTCCGGCGACTGGGGGAGTTGCGATGGAGCAACGGCGTGGGCCGGGAAGGCTCTGGGCCAGTGGCTTGCCGGATTTGCAGCGGGTGAGCGAGTTTTCCAGTAGTAGTGGAGGGCCACGCCTAGCAATAAATGCCCCCTACAGTTTTTTCATTTTCCATCTTCTACCCTTATTCGTTTTCATCATTTTTCTACATTCCTTTCTGTCCATCTCACCCGTTTTTTTATCATCATTTTTCCAAAATTTTCGCCATCCTTTTCTCCTTCCTCCTCGCCTCATTCATTTCACCAACTACCCTTCAAAATGTCATTTCCTCAATCTCCTCACCTCATCCATTTCAATAAAATAAATTCTGCAAAATATATTGCAACAAATATTTGTCATCAAAAAAATATTCGAACTGTCTAAAAACGATTTGTCCATTTCTCGGACAAAAAATAGAACAGCAACAACATCACTCTCCTCCTTCGTTTCATCACTTTTATCATATATTTTTAATAGGCGTGGTGTCCCTTGTAGGATTTTATCTTCAATATATAAAACGCTATACTTACATTATAATTATAACATATAAGGGTATAAATGTTATTATTACAGTATGATTAAGAATTATGGGTTACATTTATAGTCAGGAAATATGTCTTCAAATATGTAATCTACATATTTATCAATATCACCAATGTCTATATATTTGATATTGTCTTTTCCTATTATTGAATAAATATATTCCCAGAAAAACAAATTAACTAGTAGCCATACTTGATATTTAGTGTTGTAGTAAGACCATACATGATATTTAGTTATTCTAAATTCATTCAAGACCTCGTTTATTTTATCTTTACTTAATAAATGCCAATCAATCGCATCAAACATGCCTCGAAATTTTTTAGCAAATGCTTTATATGGTTTAATTGCGCTTGTCCCTCCAAACCTTTTAATCAAATCTTTATTATTAAAGAACTCATCAATTTCTTTTTCAAATGACTTTCTAGCAATTTTATGGTAAAAACATACAGGAAATCGTTTTTGATATCTCATAAAGAATTTCAATTGTAATTGAAACTTTGTATATCCCTTATCCTTATGTTCTTCAACAAAAAACTTTTCAAGGTCTCTTGTTATACAGCATTGATTACAATATACATCATATTCACTTATTTTATTACACAGATTAGCAGGTAATAACTTATACAATGTTATATTAACATCATTCCTTTTAGTTGTACAACATTCGCACTTTGAATAATTAAATAACATTTCCACTGTAATATATATAGTGGTTATTTCTTTAAATACTTTTTTACAAGAAATAATATTACATATTGAAATATAATTATAACATATAATATTTTACATGGTATTATTATATTATGATTATAGTTTAAGTTCAGGATAATAATTTAATTGATATATCTTACCTCTTTCATACATCATTTTAAAAACAAGATTAATATCTCTCACTGTATTTTTAACATTAAACTGTTCACTTTCAATATATGATTTTATGACTTTTTTTACATCGACGCCGGGTTTACTATAATACATCAACATCCATAATATGTCATTAATCATTTCATACTTTTTCTTACTGATTTTAAGAAACTGTTTAACATAATCGTAAGGTGGTCTTTGATACACAGTTAAAAATATTATAATGTCGTCTTCAACATTTCTTTCATCTATATTTTTAAACGCCAAACAATTTTCTATTTATTTTTGATATCGTCTCCATCTTCTACAAGTTCTACATATATTTTCTTCGTCCAAAGAATAATCAATAATATTATTAACTATTCCATTAGGTAAATTCAATTTATATAATTGCATATTTTCTTTTTTAAAGTGGCAACAATCGTAGCATTTGTTATTGATATAATTATTGATTTCGGTTTCCACCATTTCTATTATGATATATATAGTTTTTATTTCTTTAAATACTTTTTTACAAGAAATAAAATTAAATATTGAAATATAATTATAACATATAATATTTTACATGTTATTATTATAGTATGATTATAATTTAAGTTCAGGATAATAAGTTAATTGATGATTATTAAATTGTGTATATATCTTACGTTTGTCATGCATCAGTTCAAAAATAATATTGATATCTCTCACGGTATTTTTCACATTAAACTTTTTGCTTTCGATTTCTGATTTAATGTCTTCTTGTACATCACACCCTTCTCTTCTACGATGTAACAATATCCATAAAATGTGGTTAATCAGTTCATACTTTTTCTTACTGATTTTGAGAAATATTCTAACATAACTATAAGGTGGTCTTTGATACACAGTTAAAAATATTATAATGTCGTCTTCAACATTTCTATTATGTCTTCTTTTCAGATTTAAATGACATCTGATTAATTCTTGATTATCTCTCCATTCCTGACAAATTTTACATTCATCTTCTTTGCCCAAAGCATAACCAATAATATTATTGATTATTCCATTAGGTAAATTCAATTTATATAATTCCATGTTTTCTTTTTTTAAGTGGCAACAATCATAGCATTTTCTATTGATATAATTATTGATTTCGGTTTCCACCGTTTCTATTATAATATATATAGTTTTTATTTCTTTAAATACTTTTTTACAAGAAATAAATTTATACTTTTAATATCTCATGTCTCAAAAATGCCCTGTCATAATTTTCAATATAATAATATTCCTGTCCTAACTTCTTTTCAATCTTTGCTATTTTGTAGGTTTGTTTAGTCCATACTCCTACTCTCTCCTTTTCATTTGGTCTCCTTTTCCTGAATATCTTAACTTCATTTCCTACATTTAAATCTGGATAAACTCTATTTCTTTTGGCTTTCATACCTAAATTTAAACTCACTTCTAATTGGTGTTTAGGCTTTCTTGCTTCTGACGGTGTTAAGCCGTGCGAAGTGTGCTTTATTCCATTGTTATAGGTTAATATAATCTCGTGTATGTAGTCTGTCCATTGAATAACCTTTCCTTTTTTCTCATCGTTTTCAACCCTCTTATACAAGCTATCTTTAAACGTCCTTATCGCCCTCTCCGCAAATGCTGGGTGTCCTCTGGTTCTGTGCAACTCTATTTTTTCACCCTTCAAGAAATCTATAACACTTTGATTGTTATAAGCTCCTT